ACGGGTTCTACTGTATGCCTTTCCTCCACTGGAGCTCATTACCCCTACACTCACCAGAGTACGAGTGGGGAAACGTACTCATTCTGATAGCTCCCCGTTGGTCGGGGAAACACTGGCTAGCAGAGATCTTCCGGTCACTGTACGACAAGCCTTGCCTGGAGCGAGGTCCCCAGTGTGACGTCAGGCTCTTATACTGGGGACAAGTCCCTCCTCCAGTAGCAGACGTCATCTCTGTGAGCCAATCAAGACTGGCGTAATTTTATAGAGCTTCTGGACACAGCGCTGGGGGTGTGTCCCATAGTTACATACCTCACTCATGTTTCAGAGAATCAGACTTAATTTCTTAACCTAAAGATTTCCTGTGACCTGAGCCCATTTCTCCTCGTGCATGCTCTTTTTAAACGTTGCTCTTCTCATAGCTCGTACAAGCTTGCTGTGTCTGACTGTGCACCCCAACCCCTAAAACCCTCAATCACGATATAGAGCAGGGACTATATGTTGGACTTTATAGCAAAATCAGTTACCTTACTGTTCAGACAGATGATCACTGCTTTTTGCTCCCCGTTGGTCACGTAACTCCTCCTCCACTGCACAGAGCCTGCACAATCTTTGTTATTAGTCGCTGCTGTCCGGAAGCGACAACCTATAGCGACAGTGGGCTGCTGTTACAGCAAATCCCATTATGCATTGCAAGGAGAACGCTGCGCAAAGCATTTAGAGATATATCTGCCTCTTCTAAGGCCTTTAATTTGTTCTCATACACTTCGTAGACACTTTTCTCTCACAACCCTTGGACATTTACAAAGAAAGTTGAGCTTCAATGACTGGCTGAAACCGTAGCTCACCAAACATATACGCCTGAAAGTGCGCATGCACAGAAAAAGATAGCTAACGGGACGAGCACGTAGGACGGCCGCTTATTTAGATGATCCAGCTGGAAATAAAAGATCGTCCTCTATACCTTTAAGGGTATGTGGGAGCTCACTGTGGTCCCACATGGAAGACTTTGCTACAGATTTTGGACAAGACCAACCTTAGCCCAGCCAGCTGACTAACTTAAGCAAATGCTCTCCCATGCAATGAACCTATTAGAAATATTGCCGATGTAAGTTAAGTTTAAGCCACAAAGCACATGTGGCCTCCCAACTTAGAGTAAATGGTAAATGGCATGTACTTATACAGCACCTTTATTCGAGTCAGAAGACTTGACCAAAGCGCTTTACACTACATTCATTCACCCATTCACACTCACACACTGATAGTAGCAAGCTACATTGTAGCCACAGCTGCCCTGGGGCTCACTGACAGAAGCGGGGCTGCCGTACACTGGCGCCACCGGGCCCTCTGACCACTTTCAGTAGACAATGCAGGTGAAGTGTCTTGCCCAAGGACACAATGACAACCCTTCGATTTCAGGGCAAACTCCTACATCCAACGCCACTGTCGCCCCTGAGCACCCTGCTAACAAAGTGTTGCTGCCTCCCTTACTGGAGCCTGCCTCCCACTGACAAGGCTGACATAGTACAGGGATTACCTGCCTCCATCTCTGGTGTTTTCCTATCCTCTGTTTCATATTATTAGAGGAGATCCGGATTTAAATTAAATTATTAAAAAATTGATGAGAATCTTTTGAGGTGAGTCAATTAATAAGTGGTACAGACAGTCCTTGCCCAAGCAGTCATCACTGACCAATCTCACCACCCATTTTTGCAGTTGAAGTCTGGGTGACATTGAGGTGTAAAAAACTCACACATTATCGATGATAATTATCTTAACAGACCCAAATGGGTATTGCTGTGTTATTCTACCCTGTTGTTTCCCCTTTTTTTTGGACTGTACATTATTTTTTGATTCTTCCTAAGAGGGACAGTTTAGAGAATTGTGGAGAGAACTCCACCTTCTCTAGACCCAGGACATTTTTCTCTTCGAGGACTGGTAAAATGGAACTCCCAACCGGTGGGAAGAATTTAAATGAAAGGAACTTTATTTAGAAAATTTATCTTTATGAAAATATTTTTTTGAGTATCTTCTAAGCTTGGGCGATTAGAAAATCTGTCAACCATTGACAATAGACTCAGCACTTCAACAATTATTTTTTTAAGAGCAACTTTTAGTTTCTTTTTTCGACCGGGCTGCCGTTACCCTCAGAGCTTTGCTGGTTGGCGTGGTCCTCTTAACTTCAGAACATTTGTTTAAAATTCCACATTAAATAGGTAAATGGGCCATATAGTGACCCCTAAAAGTATAATGTTCTTGCCTCAAATGATCTTAAAACATACTTTTATTGAACAGCAGCAACAGAAAAGAGAACTTTTAACTTAATTATCTGAGCTCTGTGAGCGCTCCATTGAAAGGAGATGGAGAGACTCATCCACGACCTCCGACACAAAACTTTCCTCCTCTTGCATGTTTCCGCTGTCCATAGCGTTTCTTGATAGTGACGTTAAGTCACCAATTTAGTGCCACTCCCAATGTAATTTCCCATTGGGAACCTACTAGCAATTAGTTGGTAACCGGTTAGCAATGATGCTTCCAAAAACTGGCCACAATCAAACTTGCTTGCAAACCTTCTGCCACAACAATCCCGCCCTCTTGATAAACTACCAATCAAATTCACTTTATTCACTCGTGTAAAGTCTTGCACCACTCAGGAGAATTGGGAACTGAAACGTTTGGAACAGCATTTTTCCCACGACTTTTATGTTTGATGCAACATTAGGTCTAAATGCACCCTGCTTAACTTTGTTGGATGTTGTATTACGTGATATATTGCAAGTGTTTTATTTTGTTGTGTGGGTGATTGCTGAGTGATTTGACTGCAGATTGTATTGTGATTGAGACTGATCACAATGTCCATCACACGCTCCTGGCTGATTAAAGCTTTCCATTCCTTTGTTGTTTCGTGGTATTATTCGAACCCAGTCCCTTCCTCCTTTTCCGCTATTAAGATTGGCTGTTAATTGAACTGGTCAGGGCCAGTTGCCACTCCTCCTTGTTTCCCACCATTGATGCTATCTTGTAACTGAATAGTTCTGTTGATTCGGTTTAGTTGTCACTTCTCTTTTCCTGCCTGCTAAGGTTACTGTAAGTCAGACTAGCTGACTGGCACTTTGTTCTGGTCCTTCCCCTTCCGCCCCTCATCACTAGCTTGTTAGCTATAGCACCTATCAGTCTACTTCCAAGTCATATGCTTTTTCTAGTGTTTGATTCATTAACAATGGTGATTAATTGAAATAATTGTTTACAGTTGATTCATTTGATTAGAACAATGCATTATTGATTATTATTTCACATTTTTATTATTAACTATATTCATAATCAAAGAGATAAAACTGCATAACAACTTTAATGCAGTATTAAAGTTATTTCTGCATTTCGCTGGACAAATATGGAGGAAGAAGAAATTGTCTAGTCTTGCTCAGTGAGAAACGGAAAGACAATTGGGTCTATATGGAAGCTGCCTTAATCCAGCCCACTGAGCCTAATGGATGAAGTTCATAGTTAAGAAAAATGTATGAGTGCACTGCTTGAACACTATGAAATATATAAATTCAAAGTGAAAAAAAAAATGCTATTTTAAAGAATATCTTTTTAAAAAATGTGTTTGATTGTTTAGTGTTGTCATTTTAAAGGTATATTAATTTTTTTATTTGCACATGTATTTATTTAATTGTATTTTGTTTAATTAAATGGTTAAATTGATTTTTTCCCTTCAACCCTCCACAATAGACATGTTCTATGTTTTAATAACCTTTCTACTTGAAAAAGCCAGAATAAAAAAGAGGTTGTTGAAAAGGGGGAGTGGGGCAATGAAAGAGTCTTAGGGTTCAATATTAAATCACTTGTTTTAATCTAAATTATACATTATTAAAATGCATATTTAATAAAAATAATGAGCATATATGACAGATTATGATAGTCAAAAAGTGAATAGATCCCATCTTTTCTGCATACTTTTTATCTACCTTTATTATTTTCCCTCCAGATTACTGAGGAACCCCCCACCTCCCACTTGGATAACCACTACAGTGTTTTAGAAAAGCATGACTTGTAGGATTATTGACTTATGTGTTTTAAAAAAAGTTCTCTTGGGATGACTCTTGAATTTGCTTGATAATCAACATGGTCAATTTATTTAATCAAATTTCAAACTAATAAGATATCGGTTCCCGCTAATTAATGCAGCATGTTGATTGTATAATTCTAAGATAAATTATTTTAATTCAGAGAATTGTAATTCTCGATTCCATTTGATCAAAAACTTAAGTTTTATGACGTTACAAGGACTTTTAAGCTTTAAAAAGGTGAAAAAAAAAGATTAATTCTGAGCAAGTAGCTTGTTTTCACATCCATATTGTCTTATTGCCATAGCTCCATATCAATAGACTGGTTCACTTTCAGCTTGCAGTAATTTATAGTTGGATGTGCCTAGATGAGCTGTCTAAAAAGAGCTATCCACTTCTCTTTTAAGTGCTCTATTACCACCCACACCCAAGATGGTCCACATGTGTCACACAAAGCTAATTTACTTCCACCACAGGCCATTTAAACAATTACTGAAACGAACACGGAAACATAGTGATGAAATGACACTTAATGTACACACATCTATCCCATCCCTCTACCAGTCCATGACAGGACATGTTTCTCTCTCCATTATTCTACCTCTCCCCTATATCAGTCAGTCTGCAGTTGATTTATTTATGATACAGTATAAAATTATAGCTTGAGTACCACATACTATGTTTAAAAGGGACATTTAAATTAACATTTAAAGTGGAGGGGGGGAATTAAATGGATACTTCATGCATGAAAACAGGGCTTTTGTCAGCGATGAACTGGGTCAGTGTGATCAAATCAACTTATACTAAAGAGTGAAAACATAAGTCAGAAATATTTTACTTGTCCTAAATGTGACAATTTTTATTTTTGTCTAAAACTAAGATAACATGAAACTCAAATATCTGAACAAAACCAACTGCGCTCGCTTCTCTTTACAGTGCCTACAGGACTGAGTCCACCTCGTTTACGTCCCTTAAATGAAACCACCATTCAGATAGATTGGGATCCTCCAGATCAACTTAATGGACCAAGCCCACTGTATCAGGTAGGACTGATTTTCTGTAGAATCAAATGTTTCTATTGGATTTTTTTTATTATTTACAGATAATATTAAAATTTTGTTTATAGACCAAGACTCTTTGTTTATTTTCACTTGTCTGGTCTCACTTGTCTCAAGTGAAGGAGTTCAAGTATCTTGGGGTCTTGTTCACGAGTGAGGGACGGATGGAGCGTGAGATCAATAGATGGAATGGTGCAGCATCAGCAGTGATGCGGTCACTGTATCGGACTGTCGTGGTGAAGAGGGAACAGAGTCGGGGGGGACAAAGCTCTTGATTTACCGATCGATCTACGTTCCCACCCTTACCTATGGCCATGAGATTTGGGTAATGACCGAAAGGACAAGAACACAAATACAAGTGGCCGAAATAAATTTCTTTAGCTGGGTGGCTGGGTGCAGCCTTCGAGATCGGGTGAGGAGCTCAGTTACCCGGGAGGAGCTTGGAGTAGAGTTTCTGCTCCTCCACATCGAAAGGAGCCAGCTGACATGGCTTGGGCATCTGTTTTGGATGCCTCCTGGTCGCCTCCTTCGGGAGGTGTTCCAGGCATGTCCCATTGAGAGGAGGCCTCGTGGAAGGACCAGGACACACTGGAGGGACTATTCTCTGAGCTGGCCTGTTGTCGCCTGTGGGTAGGGGGCGAAAGAAAATGGATGGATGGTCTCAATGAGATCTATTAAATAGCATAAATTAGTGATTTTCAGTTTTTTTTTTTTGCTGATTTGGCATTTCTTCATTATCTTGTCAAGTTTTATGTGCTTGACATTATCTTGTCAAGCACATATTGTTTCGGAGGATTTCTAAAATAACATTGTTGATGGTATAGATTTTTTTGTCCTAATGCCAAGGTTTGGCATTGTTAGAATTATGATGAGAATGAGAATTATGATGTGTGTGTCTGTTAAACCCTTGTAATACCTGCCTGTTGCTTGTCAGAACTAATGTTTTTCCAAGCAGTTTATCTAATTAGGACAGTTCTTCTGTCAGGATATACAGTTATCATGTTCATTATGTAGATAACAGAGATTTGGGAATAGAGTTCTCTGTGTTTTTATCCGAGATAAAAACTATTATAGTTTGATATGGCTGGAGTGAGGAATGTCTCCCCATTTACAAACATGTATGATATAATGATATGAGATGTGGCAGACTGGAGTTGTATGAAATGCTTCTTTTTCTGTATTTCGGGGACACTTCAATGAAGATTGAGCCCTTTTGGTAAGCGCTGCCTTCTGTAATCCAAAGCAACTTCTTTGGAATTAGTAGGATTACAATCTCTGTCTAAATCTTTTGTTGAATGTTATGGTTATTTAATACATATTCATTATGAAGTATTGTTTAAAGATTTTGTCCCGAGTGATCTCTTCTCAGGAAAACAACCGGAGAGAGAAAGCTTCAAGGTGTAAACAAGGAGAAAACAGTATTTGTTGTTTGGAGTGACTGTATTTCACATCTAAACATTGAAATACTATAAATGATGCCACTTTTATTAAATACCATCTTCTCCTTTTCATCTGGGCCTACCCCCCTTGGAACTTTAATTTACCCTAGCAATTTTTTAAAAGCTTCTCACTTTGGAGTCATACACAGAGATTTTATTCTACGTTCTTTTACTGCATTATATTGTCACATCTATTATCTTTTATAATAAAAAAAAAAAAAAAAACACTACTAAACTTCTTGTAAAGGTATTACTGTATACAGTTTTAAAGCGACTTGGCTAATGCAGATCCCCTTGCTCTACAGTACAATGCTATCAACAAGTGGCTACGGTCGCTAAGTGCTAAGAAGCTAACATAACGTAGCCAACCTGGATACTAAATGCTATGAAAGTTAGCCAACATTAGTTAGTTTATCATTGGGACATTATAGCCGTTGATTTAATGTCACATTATAAA